CAGGCTATGCCAAAGTGTTTGGATTGTAACATGAAGCTAATGGGACGTTATTGAAGTATTTTAATTGGGGGAGTGACACAAGTAGATCTTCATTTTAGAGAGGTCTCGAGTGTCTCATTACCATTTTTGGGTTACCAGCCTATTTAAGACTTCGAGGAAAATCACCAACACTTTTTCTATAAAAATGCAAAAAAATGTGCATATGCAATAACACAATATTAAATAGAATTTCAGGAAGCTTCTGAAGACCATGGACCCTAGTCTACAAACTCTGGAGTGGAAGAATTTTCTCTATTGGAGGTACCTGAATGGATTGGGAGAAGGTGGGAGACTTGAATATTTATCTGCTGAAGGGACAGAGCCAGTAGAGAGGGAGAGGTAGGAGATGTAGTAGAGGAGAGAATTATGGAAATTATCCCGTCATTTTCTCTTTAACCCTAAGTAGCCTGGAAGGACTCAATCTTCTCTGGAATGAAGGAGATGAGATCAACTCAGGCTGTAAGAGGGATACTTCTAGTGCTTCAAGAAAGAAGGAAGAATGGGGGTGAGAATAGATAACAGTGGGACATGGAAGGAATATTTATGGGATTTCTTTTTTTTTTTTTTTCTATGTAGAAAATGAAGCGATTGGCTGAAAGTGAAGGGAAAGAAGGTTTGGGAAAAGTAGAGCTTTGGATTAGCTGCTGAGAGAAGTGTAGAAGGAAGCTGAATAGTAACATGAGAAAGACAGCAGGAGCTGGGGGCTCAGCTGCAATCAGAGGTCATGGATTTGGAGCAGCACCAATTCTCAGCAATGTGTGATTCTTAACCAGTATCTCTCGGCACGCTACTAAAAGGTGAGCCTGTATAGGTGGCATTTTACAGAGAGAAAAAACCGTAGAAGTATCATTTCATTTTGTATAAAACAAAGTGTGACTAGTGCTTTGATTGATAATTTGAATATGAATGCATGGCATAATTTGAATATATGTCCATGTACATCTTGTCTTGCTGTGGCCTGACTCACAGTGATATCAACCAAAGACCCAGTCTGACCCTTGGGGCTATGCCAAAGGTATATAATCCTATGAAAAATGGCAGAGGAGCTTAAACCCCCTTACCTCCCTCTTTCTCACATCTCTGTGGTGTCAGGGCTCTAGGGAATTTCTGAGCTAGTAGATGCCACTGTTCTTGCCCCAAATTTGAAAAGCACAGATATTCCCAGGAGATACTGGACAAATTCTCTTTTGCCTTATGAAGTACTAACTTTTTCCCTGAGACTCCACAAGAAGAGGTGGGGGAAATAAATGGAAACCAGATATATGTCTAAGTACATATATTTCATGACTGCCTGGATGGCCACTACTGTGAAACATTTTTAGAAAGTGGAAATATGATCAATATCCTTCTGGTCATAGTATCTTTCATTTTTTATTTCTGTTATTCTCTCTTTTCATCCTATAGGGGATATTATAAGAGGTATGAACTATCTTCCATTGCAAAGGCTCTGAGACATAGATATTTGGTAAAATAGACATTTACATTGCTGATAAAGGACATGGCTGTGCTCAGTTGGATTGAGAGGTGACTGGAGGGAAGTCAACTCTGGCATTCAAAAGTGCTACTTTTCTGAGTCTTCTAGATACCGTAAGGTTGAACTTCTCCAGTTCATCAGTCTGCAAGAAGTGAGTTGTACTGGGTCTTGTGTGTTAAAGGCCAACCTTTAAGCTGAAGTCCAGGTGTATTATTTTCTCTGGTCACTTCTGTTACTACATTTTTCTCATTGGGTTGGATAGAAAGTCTTCAAGAAGTTCAAAGAATTTCTATTAGCAGGCTACCACTATCCCCTACAGTGGTAGCCCTTCCTTCTGGGCACTCCCTGCAGGATACGGTGTGTGGAACTTGGGCTGGAGTCCAGCCCCTATTTACCTCTTCAGCTAGGCTCCCGTGGGCAAATGTACACAGAGTTTCTACTTTCTCTCATTCTTCTGCCAACCTTTAAACAGCATGATTTCACAGAAGCCACATGATACCCGCTGGTGGATTTTAGAACACAGTGGAATTCAGCAATGTGCATTACCCACTTTGCTTCCTCTCAGCTGGGTGATGATGATAATGAGATCATATCTCTGAAGTTTAGGTCTAAGGATATAAAGTGCTGACAATAATTGTTATTTCATCACAAAAGCTTAATATCAAACTCTGATCATCAGCCAAACCATTCCTGTATGACTTCGATGTTGAGATAGTAGATTCCCACTCTCACCTCATTATCACCCTCCTGTGGGCCCATCCCCACTCACTGTCTACTCCGTCCTCATGGCCTCAAGGGCCTCAAGGGCCTCAAGGTAAATTTACCTCAAGGTAAATTCCTTGTCCAGTCTAGATCCTGAGATCCATCACTATAATGACTTCCTTAAAATCTCTCACCTCCCTTGACCCCTTCTCCCTCTGTCAGAGTTGCCTATCAGAACTTCAGCTCTGATTAGATCCCACTCTCTTGAGTGGGATGAGAACTTGCTCATTTTACCTCCAAGTCTACCTGTCTGTATCTGAGCACATGCACTCTCCATTAACTTCTGTTCTAGTAAATGAACTTTCTATACACGTCTGAGGTCATCCTCTTGTGTTAGAGGAGCCACATGCTTTCACCTGCTCAAAGACTGCGATTTTTCTCTCTCTCTCCTCCATTGCTAATATCTCTCCCTCTACTGGATTGTCCCCATCAGTATATAAACATGTAAACATATTTCCTGTCTTAAAACAAAAAAAACCCTACTCTCCACACCCCTTTTCCACTAACTTCCTGTTTCTCTTCCTTTTTAAAAATTTTTTTATTTTTATTTTTTTAAAATTTTTTATTTAAATTCAATTAATTAACATATAATGTATTATTGGTTTCAGAGGTACAGGTCTGTGATTCATCAGCTGTATAATACCCAGTGCTCATTACATCACATGCCCTCCTTAATGTCCATCACCCAGTTACCCCATCCCTCCACCCCCCAAACAAGGTATTTTTATTTTTTAAAAAATATTTTATTTGTCTGAGAGAGAGAGAGAAAGAGAGAGTACATACAAGCATCGGGGAGGGAGAAGTAAGCTCCCTGCTGGGCAAGGAGCTCCACACAGGACTTGATCCCAGGACCCTGGGATCATGACATGAGCTGAAAGCAGACATTTAACAAGGCATCCCCCAGTTTCTCTTCTTTTTCACAGTTAACTTACTTGAGAGAGTACTTAGTACTTTCTCACCTCACCTCCTTTCACTAACCCACTCTAGTCAGGCTTCTGTCATTCAGGTCACTGATGACCTTCATATTTTCCAATGGTCAGACCCACCCCTAACTTTTGCAAGGCACAGGGCAAGCATTCAAATGGCAGTCTCTAAACCATATAACAAAGAAGTTATAAATCAAGCTTACAGATTGTTTAAAAAAATATGTTCCATTCTTTTATCTTGACAAATATAACTTTATAAAGACCTAGAAAATCAAGTTTGAATTTCAAATTCTCAGACTCTTCAGTCCTGGTGGAATGTGGCAACATAGAGACAACTGTCCCCTGACACCTGGCCTACAAGCCCATCCTTTTCTTCCTGACCATATCTCACACCTTTTCATGATTTGATTAGTGCCCCTCCCAATGATATGTCCAGGTCTTAATCTCTGGTACCTGTGAATGTGACCTTACTTGAAAATAGGGTCTTTGTAGATGTGATTTAGTTAAGGATCTCGAGATGAGGTTATTCTGGATTCAGGTGGTCCCTAAATCCAATGATTGGAAAGGAGAAAGGAGGGAGATTTTATATAGTGATTCAGTGACACGGAGGAGAAGGTCATGTGAAGACAAGGCAGAGATTGGGGTTATGCGGCTACAAGCTTAAGGTATGCTGAGGATTTCTGGCAGCCTGCAAAAGCTGGGAGATAGGCGCGGAAGACTTTGTGAAGTCTTCAGAAGAAACATATCTCCTTCAGCTTTTGGAAGAAACCAACTCTGTTGACACCTTGATTTTGGACTTCTGGCTCCCAGCACAGTGAGAGGATAAATTTCTATTGTAGGTCACCAAATTTCTGGTAACTTGTTTTGGAAGCCCTAGGAAATGAACACATACTTTAAATGACCTTGCATGCATAAGAATGGACTCCTCAGTTCATGAATCACAGCTCTGACCTCACCCCATGCAATCAATCATCCCTTGGCTACTACCCCTTGGGCCAATGAGTGCACACACTGGTTCAGTTAGCTCTCAGAATAGACCTGGGGAAGGGCCCAAGCAGGCCTTGAAGGTGGGCTTGAGACTATATAGGCAGGGAGTTCTGGGGTTCTGGGTATGCATATGTCATCTAGAAGGATGCAGATTTTTTATGGGATCTCTTTTGGCCTTGAGGAGTCCCTGCCCCACGGCCAGCTGGAGGAGTGCCAGAGTGACACCTGCTAAGTGCCCCCTTGCTAGCTTTAAGGAGGGTGGGTACTGCTAATGGTCTCTTTCTGATTAGCTTATCTAACATCTTAGCATTCCCTCCTCCCTGAACTGCTTTTCTCATTTGGCCTCTGTGACCTCTCTCTTCATGTAATTGCCACCTCACTGGCCACTTTTCAGTCTCCTTTGTTGAATTCTCTTCTTTAAATGTTGTAGCACCCCACTTCTCTTCTTTGTTTATTATCTGTCTTTGGTGTTCTCATCTGTTTTCCTTTAAAAACATCTAAATTCTCCTATCAAATTTGTACCTTTAGCTCAGACCTCTCCCCTGACCTCCTGACTTTTGTATCTAATTGCCTGTGTAATGTCTTCAGGTGGAGTATTTAGTAGGTCTCTAAGAATCCACATGTCCAAAGGAACTTTCCAGTACCCCTAACCGTGCTCCTCTTCTAGCCTTCATGATCTCCATTAATGGACTTTCACCTATCCTTTTGATCAGGGCAAAAGCTTTGGAGGAGTTCTTGATTCTCCTCTTTTTCTCATTCTCTGCCTTTAATTTGTTGACAAGTTCAATGACAGTTGGGTGTCTGAAACATACCTTGAATCTGACCACCTCTGTCTATCTCTGTTTCTATCGACATAACCGTAGGCCAAGCCAGAGACTGGGTTTTCTGTTTCCCTTCTTGCCTGCACACAATCTTGCACATAGGTTGAATGGAAGTGACAACTAAAACATGTAAACCAGATCCTATCACTCCTCCATTTCAATCTGCCATTGACTTCTGGTGGCACTTTGAATAAAACCCCAGCTCCTCTCCATGGCCTCTGGGACTTGGCCCCTGCCCATCCCTCTTCTCAACTCCACCACTCTTCCCCTTTTTCCTCATAGTTCATAGTTCCACTGAATTGACTCTCTTTTGGTTTCTCAGATATGCCTCAGAGACTCCACACTTGTATTTTTCTTTGCAGATCTTTGCAGCTGGATGTTCTCACTTTTCAGGTCTCTGCTTTCCATTCTCCTGTTCAAAATAGTTATTGTCCCTCCCCAGTTACTCACTGTCCACAATTACCCTATTTTTGTTTTTTCATAGTACTCATCTCTAAGCTCCACAAGGACAAGTATCATGTCTTTCTTATTCGTCATAGTGTTCTCAGCACCAAGAACTGTATTTGGCAGATAGTTGTTGCTCAATAACTGTTTGTGCAGTGAATGTATGAATCAGGTAAAATTCCTTCTCTATGGGATAGATTACAGATGTAGGTAAATAACTATAATACAAGATAGCAAGTGGCAAAATTTTGTAGGAAATGTAGATATAAAATGCTATGAGTAGTGTATGGTGAGAACAAAGATGTCTTCAAAGAGAAGGTCAAATCTGAGTTGAGTTTATACAGAGAGGGACTTTAGAGATAGACAAGGAAAGGCTTTTTTTTTTTGTTTTGTTTTTTGAGTAGGTTCCACGTCCAGTGTGGAGCTCCCAAAGCAGAAGTAGAACTCACGACTCTGATATCAAGACCTGAACTGACAGAGCTCCTGGGTGGCTCAATGGGTTAAGCATCTGCCTTCAGCTCAGGTCATGATCTTAGGGTCCTGGGATCAAGCCCTGCATCAGGCTCCCTGCTCAGTGGGGAGTCTGCTTCTCCCTCTCCCTTTGTCCCTCCCCCTGCTCGTGCTTTCTCCCTCTCTTTCTTTGTCTCTCAAAATAAATAAATAAAATCTTAAACAAACAAACAAACAAACCTGAGCTGAGATCAAGAGTCGGATGCTTTACACCAAAACAAATTATGTAATATATGGTGATTAACATAACAATAAAAATTAAAAAAAAAAAGAGTCGGATGCTTAACTCACTAAGCCACCCAGGCACTCTAAGAAGGAAATGCATTGTAAGTAACAGGGTATTATAAGCAAAGATCTAGAGGTGGAAAGCTTAGACTGCATGTAGAAAAGAGAAAGTTATTTTGAATGAAGGATCTGGGAAGAGGAAATGTGGAAAACAAGGTTGAGATTTCTACTAGGGCCAGTTCATGGAGTGCCTGTATGATAGACTGGAGAACATGGCATTCATTCTGCAAGCAATGGGGAAGTCATGGAAGGTTCTCTGTAGGGGAGTGATAAACTTGGAGCAGTGTGGCTCTGGGAGTTTTCTGGGAGTTATGTATTAATGGATTGCAGCAGGGAGAGGTTGTAGGCAGTATGTTGGGAGAATCAGTTGAGGTTAGTGCACTTTTCCAGAGGAACAGTTTTGAGGCTCTGGACCCCAAGTGAGAGAGGTGGCAGAGGGAATGGGGAGAAAGGCAGGAGTGTGATAGAGGTGATGAGGGCCGAATCACCAGGACTTGGCAACTATTTGGTCTGACAAACTGATATTTCCTCCAAGATTTCCATTTTAATATTTATTTCACTGCTAATTGTTATTAGCTGTGGCATTAATCTTAGTAATTGCAATTATTTTAATATTTGATAAAAGCTATTAATGTTCACAATTTTGTAATCAGTTTTGTCATAATTCTTAAAAGCTAAGTAGCACATGCCTGCTTTCAGAGGATGATAATGGATCACCACATGCTAGATATAATTATGAACTTAAAATTGCTCTCATTCTGTGCATTTACAAAGACAATAATCCCTCAGGATGCTATTTAAAATACACTGAGCCAAATTCCATCTGTAGCTGAATGTGTGAGTCTCTTGAACTGTGAATACCTGTCCATTGGCAGAATTTAAATCCCATCAAATACAGCAGAAGCCTTTCTATGTACATTATATTTTTCCATAAGAAATATATTTATTATATTATAATATAATATAATATATGCAAGATCATCGATCTCTATGTGTGTTTTTGGATGGGTTTATGCACAGTGATATGTTTATTGTATAGTAAATTCTGATATTGTATCATTGCTAAGCACTGAGGCATGTAGTTTAACTTGTAGTATAATTAAACACATCTTCTTTTTTTTTTTTTTTTAAGTAGGCTCCATGTCAAGCATGGAGCCCAACATGGGGCCTGAACTCACAACCCTGAGATCATGACCTGAGCTGAGATCAAGAGTCAGACATTTAACCAACTGAGCCACCCGGACACTCTTAAACACATCTTTTCCCCCACAATTTTATTGAGATATAATTGACATAAATAACTATGATTTTCAGGTTGGTTTAAAGGTTTGACTTATGTATATTGTGAAATGATTACCACAACAAATTTACTTAATATCCATCATCTCATATGGTTACAATAAAAAGAGATGGGAAAAAAAAAATTCTCCTTGTAATGGGAACTCTTAGAATTTCCTTGCTTAACAACTTTTCTATGTACCATACAGCAGTATTAGCTGTAGGCATCATGTTGTATGTTCCATCCCTAGTACTTACTTATCTTTGTACCTTTGGACCACTTTCCTCCAATTGCCCTTCTCTATATTTCCCACCTCTGATAACCATGAGTCTGATCTTTTTTTTTTTTTAAAGATTTTATTTATTTATTTGACAGAGAGATATCAAGGACAAGCAGGGGGAGCTGCAGGTAGAGGGAGAGGGAGAAGCAGGCTCCCCGCTGAGCAGGGAGCCCGATGTGGGGCTTGATCCCAGGACTCTGGGATCATGACCTGAGCAGAAGGCAGATGTTCAACTGACTGAGCATTTAGTGCCCCCAAGTGCCCCCAATCTGATCTTTCTCTTTAAGTTTTTTTTTTTAAGGATTCCACAGATAAATGAGTTCATATAGTATTTGCCTTTCTCTGACTTAGCTCACTTAGCATAATGCCCTCAAGTTCCATCCACATCATTGCAAATGGCAGGATATCCTTTTATTTTTTTTAATGACTGAATAATATTCTATTTTGTATATACACTACAATTTCTATGTCCATTCATCTGTCAATACACACTTAGGTTGTTTCTGTATCTTAACTATTGTAAATAATGCTCTATGAACATGAGGTGCAGATATCTTTTTGAGTTAGTGTTTTTGTTTCCTTTGGATATATTCCCAGAAGTGGAATTGTTAGATCATATGGTAGATCTGTTTTTAACTTCTTGAGGATCCTCTGTATTATTTTCCATAGTTGGCTGCACCAATTTGCATTCCCACCAGCAGTGCACAAAATTTCCCTTTTTTCTACATCCTTGCCAGCATTTGTTATCTCTTCTCTTTTTCATGATGGCCATTCTAATAGGCATGAGGTGATATCTCATGGTGGTTTTGATTTGCATTTCCCTAATGATTAGTCTTGTTGGACATCTTTTCATGTACCTGTTGGGCATTTTTATATCTTCTTTGCAAAAATATCTATTCAGGTCTGTTTGTTTTTTTGCTATTGAATTGTAGGAGTTTGTTCTTGCTACTGTTTGTTTTTGTTTTTTTGCCATTGACCTGTATGAGTTCCTTTTTTCTTTTAAAGATTTCATCCATTTATTTGAGAGAGAGAGAAAGAGAGAACACAAGCAGTGGGGAGGGGCAGAGAGAGAGAAGCAGACTCCATGCTGAGCAGGGAACCTGATGCAGGGCTCTGTCCCAAGACTCTAAGATCATGACCTGAGCCAGGGGCAGATGCTTAACTGACTGAGCCACCCAGGTGCCCCATATGAGTTCTTTATATATTTTGGATATTAATCCCTTATCAGATACATATCTTAATGAATTATGTTATAAGGAGGTTCTATTCCTTTAAAATTCTTCTTGCCTTCTTTATAGGTAAAAGTCAGGTGAGTTGTCAGCATTTTGAGACGAGTAATGAATCATAAACACCTTAAAATGTACGATTTTATATAATTAATTCTAAAGCCAATGCATATGTTAATTCTGATGTCTTAGTCACTTGATCATATTAGCTAATAAAATTTCCATCTCTGGATCAACTCATAGCTGTTGTATTTGAGTAAATAAAATTACTGTATTTTCATTTAAGATTTTCATTTTAGACCTTTCTGGTTGCTAGTGCAGACTCTGAAACTAGACTCCCTGAGTTTGATGGAAGCTTTAAGACTCGCTAGCTGTGTGATATAGGTAATATACTTGACCTCTCTGTGCTTTAATTTCCTCATCTGTAAAATGGGAATGATAATTGTACCTACCTAACAGGATTATCATGAGGAATTGAATGAATTAATTTGTATAAGGCCTAACACACTAGTAAACACTTAAAAGATATTAGCTATTTTTACTAATCTCAAATAGACATTGTGCATTGCTATCAAAGTTAAATTTAATATATATAATTACTAAATTATGATTCAGAAAATTTTGTATTTATATAACTGCATTACTAGGTAGAGATGATAGTTCCTTTCCAAATCCTTCTAGTATTTTCTGCCTTGAGGAACAAGGGACACTATGTCTGTATTTGTACTACATGGGTATCACTCTAATTATAAACAGTAGGTAAAAAGTATGCAACTCACTGCTGCTGAATATCTATTGTAAACACAATAGGCGAATAATATCTAATTTTGGATTGGTAAATAATGACACATTTAATTTTTGTTTGTAACATTAACTTTGTTTCCAACTACAGGTAGCAGTTGTACCAACTATATCCCAAAAATTTGAAAGATTTGATACAATCCATTATTTTATTTTATTTTATTTTTTTATTTTTTAAAGATTTTATTTATTTATTTATTTGAAAGAGA